TTTCATGGTTGTTTTAGATGGTTATTATGCTATTATAATGAAAAATAATAAAACAGGCTTACATTATTTATAATTTTCAACTATATAAGACCAAAATCAACCTGCCCAAATTTGGAAAAAATAGTTTCCCTCTCTACATCACTCCTTGTTCCCACCTTGGCAGTCTTTAACTGCCTCTACCCTTGCCAATAACACACTTGATACTTTTTTTTTTTGCTTGTGTTAAGCTTGTATTAAGGTTATGCTAAAGTGGCTTAATTTGATTTAAATCCAAGCTTTGACTAGGCCGCTACAAATAGTTTTTGGGGATCTCTGGTTTGCTTCTTATCATTTTCTGCTTGCATAACAAGACCTTACCTAATCTCAGTGTCATAAAGTGATCTCCACACATTTTACTTCTGGATTTTCAAGTAGTGAGCAGAATTCCTGGTTTCAATAATTACACCACAGCATTCCAACCCGCATTGATGTTGGAATAATATTTGTTTTTTTCCCCTGAAATTTGCATTTAGTTTTAAACCAGATTTGATGTGAAAAGTTCCAGTTATGTCATGCAAAGGTTTTTTGGCATGTGTGTTGTTATTGGTTCCTATTATTTTCTATTTATTCACATATAGTTTAGAAATCACCAATGGTTGCCCTGTCTCTGTTTTATTGTTGAATCATGTGCATGGAGCTTAAATGAGCAAAGTTAAGCCGACATTGGTATATATGTAAATGTTCCTCCTGTATTTGTCATCAATGGAACAGTTTCTATAGACCAGCCACTCATAGGAAGGCTCCCCACTGTTACATGTTTTTATTCTATAGTGGGTAATGGCACTCACTGTTGTTTACAGTCTCAAAAAATTACTCTTTCCAGACGATACTTGTTAAGTTTTTTTTTCTTTTTTTCCTCATATTTAATTATTTATTTACTTGGGCATTTAAAGATCATTAAATTTAACTGATGCTGTCAAAAAATGTGTTATTTATGTGATTTAGGTATCATAAATATTTGGCATTAAAATGTGGCTGTGGAACTATTACACAGTTGGAACAGTTAGTTTAAAGATAAAACGTGATATATGAAGGGTAGTTGTTACTTTTTCACATTTCAGAACAAATAAGCAAAAACCAATAAGGGTTGCAAACTGTTTACGCTCATGCCATGATCTAAGCTCCCACAGCAATGCAGAAGGAACAAAGCATATTTATTTCCCATACTGCAGTATATACAAAAGCACCGACTTTATCAAACAGACAAATATGTAGATAAAAGCCGAGGTAGTAAGTCATGGTAACGACTTCAGCTTTGAATGAGTTCAAACTTCTTTAGTAAAAAAAATAATATGTTTGCATATCTTAATCAATAAGCCGTTGGCATAAAAAGCAGAATGAATCTATTCATCCTAGCAGCGTTTATTAATTCTGTAGTAAAGGCCATGAACGGCTGTGAATCAGTGCACACTTCATCCTGCATAATGGGAATATAGACCATATAAGATATGCACATACAAAACACTATAGCAAGGGCCTCAACAGGAAATGCTTCAAGAAACTGCTGAGAACAAAGAGAAACTAGAGGATCGTGGATGAGTAATGGGATGACAATGAGCACCTGAGACGCCACAAACATATTGTCTCCAGAGGCCAGCGATTTTTTTATGAAGCCCCAGGAGACTGCGTTGAAGACGATTAAAGATACAGCAATACTGACTTGATGCAATTTTCCAAATGTTTGTTTACGGGCAAATAAACGCACCGGCTGGACTACAGCACTGGCTGCTAAACCGACCTCTCCGTAAAGTGCCATTTGTTAGGCAATTATCCCTATTCTGCCAAGCAGAAAATAACTTCAGCTGAATGGTGAGGTGTGCTGGCACCAAACTCATAATACCACGCAGACACTATAATTAGGCGGCTCTTTACAAGGGAAAGAATGTGGTCCGAGATGACCCTGTAGAAGAAGAAAATCCTACAAATCCTGCAGCAAAAAGCAATTTGCCCTTGCCGTTCAATTTTCATAAATTATTCTATGGTTTTAATGATGTAAACAAAAACGGTCATCAGGATGGACGTCAAACGCGGTTGGTTGCTTTCAAAACACACGAGCACATCGACCCAAGTTAAAAAAAGAGTGTAGATCTTTATGGATCTATTGGTGTTCAAAAGTATTGATAACCCTGGAGCTTTTTCAGACTTTCTCATGCTGCAGCCATAAACTATTGAAACGGAGTGACAGACCAACAGAAAGTGGTGCATAATTATAAAGGGGAAGGAACACGAAACATTCCCCTTTAGTTCACTGCAAAAATGATCTCAAAATTAGTAAAAATGTCTTAAATTAAGGGTATTTACCCTTAATTTGAGTAGGTAAATAAGATGATTTGCCAATGGAAGTAGTATTTTTACTCTTAAAATAAGGTATCTAAGATAAAGTGCACTTGAAATAAGACAATGCAATAGTTTTTTCTTATTTTAAGTGTAAATTGTCTTGTTCCATTGGCAAAGTGTCTCACTTAAACCCTTAATTCAAGAAAAAATGCATTTAATTTAAGAAGAAATTACTTATTTAGATTTCATTTTTTTTGCAGTGTTGAGCTTTCTTCACTCACCACCTGTAATGAATTTAGTCTTAGTATAAATAAAGCTACTTTTTTATTTTTGTTTTAGACATTTGTGTAAAAAAACAGCATAAAAAAAGATCCTAAAAAACACGGCAAAAAGTTGTTCGGAGAGCTGAAACAAATTTAAGCTATGAAGCAATACTCATTGCTTTGAACGTTTCACAGAGCGCTATTTCGTCCATCACCTAAACATGAAAACAGTAATGTAGGTATAAAGCTGTGACTTTAGACCTACATCAGGATGGCAAGAAAAAAAAATCTGTTTAATAATTAACTTAGCCAATTAGGGGACTCAACAAACAAGTGAAAGAGGGTGTTCAATTCAGACTAAAATAAAACTGATCAAACTGGCCTACATGTTATAACCTAACACAGGCCTGACAGGTGGCAAAACTATAAAAGTGATCAAACAAAAGGCTTTCAATCCAGTTCTATCTTTTCAAGTTGAAAAGATAAAAAATGCCTATCTCTAGATGTGCAAATGAGGTGGAGGTGTATAACCTGGCACAAGCCAGTTTAATTTAGTTCAATTTGAATTCTACATAGTATCCATCAGGAAAGACTCCTGTGGAATGTGTTTGCCAAAGAGAGGAATATTCAATACAATTCTTCGAGCTGATTGGGTAAATCACAAAGTTCACATGCCTCCCATATGGAGAGTTTAGCCAATCAGCAGCAGTAGCAGCTGCGACACATCAAATCCTTTATTTTTCACAACAGCAAAGTTAAGTGATAAATCAAACTTACCAAATCCAGTCAGGAGGAACATGCAAACATTTTCCCCTAGAAGGGAAGTGTGACCTACAGTAGTGGTTAGGGTATTAAGCTTAGAAACTAGAGGTTTTGAGTTCGAGCCCCACTCCTACGGAGTGACACTCTTGGTCCCTAAGCAAGACCCTTAACCCCACACTGCTCCCCAGGTGCTGCTGCAAAAAGACAGCCCACTGCTCTCCAAGGGGATGAGATATATGCAGGGATTTCAATTTGTTGTTCTGTACTTGTGACAGTGTAATGAAAATAAAAGCTGAAAAAAAAAAATGCAAAGGCATAAGTCGTGTTTCCTTATTTGTTCTATATTGTTCTTCTGCCTGTGGTCCATGCATTAATATCATACACCAGACAGCATTTCATTGCTCCAAAGCATTTCTGTATGGAGGCTAACAATCCAATGGACTTTGTTTCCAAGTTTAAAGATGTTTAGCTTCTCATCCAGGAAGCTTTTTCAATTCAAAATGGAGGAGTTCAGGAGTTTGTCATTCGCAAATCTCACTAGAATTCATCTTGCTGGCAAGGTAAGGAGGTATACACTTAGGGCCTGATCCTCAGAACTTTTGCGCATCTTAAAAAAGATGCAAATTCTACATGCTAAGTTATCTTCAAATGAGGAGAAAACTGATTTGCTTGTGCAATTCAGCAGACAGAATTTGGAAACTTTTTTTTGTGCGTCTTTGTCAATATGCAAATGCAGATTTTGCATCTTTTCTTAGTATAAGAAAAAAAATTAGAAGCAAACTGACGTGAAAATATCTGCAGTTATTGTTGCTACAAATGAGACATTGGTTTATGACATAACTAATAACAATAGAAGAATAATACTAATAAAGAAATAAGCTTCTACACACGGGCATAAATCAATTCAGCATGATAACAGACGATCTTTATATAATTAAACCAAAACTATGAAAATAATTGAATTTAAATACTGTGGTGTGTTTACAAAAAAACAACTTACTGCACAAATATCTTCACATTTGTGCAGCACGTTCAGTACCATCTGTAACGTGTCAATTTTTTGAAACTACTTCAAAAAAATTGCATGTGCAATTTAGCACCTCTTATTTAGAATATTTGAAGATCAGGCCCAAAAATAATAATATTCTTCTCTCTATGATCAGACGCTACTGTGTTTTGACCAGCTACAAAAACAAAAAATAGAAACAATACACAAAAAAACTTTAGTTGTAACAGGAAAAAAATTGTAAAACAAATGGTGGTATGCACACTATGCAAGGGTCAGTATCTTAAAAAATAATAAATGCTTTTAAGTGAACATGTTTTTTTCTTGTCATCCATTAGACTCAGCAAACAAACAAATCCTTCCAAGAATTTAGAAACATATCCCAATGTAGATGCACACATGCGAGCATCAACATTATGGGTTTCTGAAATATTACTTTCCAGTTGCAGGCCAAAATCAATAGAATGCACTGACAGGTCAAGGTATTCTTGTGGAAATCTGACCTCTCCGCCACAGGGATGCTGTAAACCATGAATAGTGGACATGTGTGTAGGTGTGGAGTAGCCAACGACGTTTTATAAATCAGTTTTATGTGAAGCAGATCATGTGTGTTGCACCAAAGCTGAAGAAGACAGGGGAATCTTTCGGTGTACCTGCAGAAAGTCTTGGTCGGGTCCTGGGGGTCTGCATTTCTTGCCGTGCGTGGGGCAGCATGTGGTAACGTTTGGCTTCGTTGACAAGATCCCGACACGCCTCCGAGGATTTGATCAGCTCCTCGTTATCCACTACATTGAGCAGGTAGGACGGATGGATGAAGGGAAGACGAACCACTGCCAACAGCTCGGACAGATGCTGTGGAGACACAGAGAGAAAATGCTTCTTATACATTTCTCTCGACTCAACAGGTATTTTTTTAAAAGATGCAATTATATCTGAAAAAGCTTCGCTCTATTAGTGTGTCGAAACTTGGCGCCGGCAATAATTTGTGGCAGACCCTAAAAACTGCAGTTCATTACAGTCATGCTTCCCATTTCAGTTTGAACATGTGGGGAGCACAAAACGTTTAAAAAGGACAGAAAAATGAGGAAATATGGCCTGAAATTCAAACCCTTTTATCTATCAAATTTACTGTCACAGCCACAGGAGAACAAAAATAACCCAGAACTGAAACAAGTTAGGAGGGCTTGCTTTTAATTTAGTGTCTAAAAGGAATACATGGAGTGAAACAGAAACTAAAGTGACATTTAAAAAAAAACTTTTCCACACAGTCAAGCTTTCATATTCCGAATTTAGTCTCACAGGGAGCGCTCAAACCAAGCAGCAGGGGGTATCTTACTTCCAGCTTCTGGTGACTATTTTTTTTTCCTATTTCCAATTAAATCTTCCATCAAATGGAAAAAAGGTTCTTTCTGCAGTTAAATTAAAAGTTTCCTCTACTCACCCCCCCCCCATTCAAGCCAAAACACTGAAATTCCATCGGAGAAGTTTGTCTTTTGTTAAAAAAAAATAATAATTTTTTAGCTTGTAAATGCTTTATTTAATTTCCAGTGAAGGGAAACAGGTTTGTGGCGAATAAACCTTGAAAGACACGTGGTATCACAGCACAATTATAGCAGGAATATTTATATTTTAATGTTTAGTTCCCCTGTTCATTATTCTATACAAAAAGCGTTCAAATTCAGTTGATGTTAAACATTGGCCTAAGTGGTGCTTAGATCTGGATTTTGACTTGGCATTATAAATATAGTATCTTAGAAAGTGATACACTGTTCCCACAAATGCGGAAAAAGAAACATATTAATACTAAAATAAATAACTGGGCTGTATTTTCTAACATAAAATAATCAAGGGCTGTGAATACCTCAGCCAGGCTCTGTATATTGGCCCTATCTTGGCTTCTACATATGTGTTCATATAGAAGGTTTTACACAGTAGCAGGGTATAGCGTTACAGGAGTCTTGTTTATAGCTATAGCTGCAGAGAGGTGCTTTTTTTCCTGCTCTGTGAGTGCAAGTATATGCGTGTCCCTGTGGGAGTCGACAGTAAAAGCTGTAAACAAGCTTGGACAAAGCGACAGGGAGCTGGGTGAAGGCTGACCCCTCTGACCCTTTGGCTCAGAACGAAGTGACCGAGGCGAGCAGGGAGAGCGACAAAACAACAGACTCACAGAAACATCATTCAGGGGGACAACAAATAATCAGCCAACATTCTGCCTGGGCTGCTCTCGCTCCCACCTGAGGTCTTTTTACTCTGCCATGCGCCCCATTTGTTTTCTAGCAATGTCGTCCTCTCATCTGACCAAACAAAGGAAAAAAAGAAAAAAGACCTGAGAGGCAGAGATGAGAGGAGAATAAATGGATAGGACACAAGAAAGTAGGTGGGAGGATAAAGGAACAAATAGGAATAGCGGTAGTTTAAGGATAAAAACTGCATGCTTAGGCAATTTGAAGACAACACGAGGAGAGGAGAGTGGATTTGATGTTTCCACAGGAATCAGAGCTTTATGCAGATGACATTTCCTGTCCACCAGCATGCTTGAAGCCAAATGCTGTCCTGCATCTGGGACTGTGTGCTTTCCCTCACCCTCGAATGCACCCAGCACGCTTTATTAAACAAACAACTCAATAGCCACATAAACACTTGCACTTGCTTAAAGCATAAACTAAGGAAGCCAAGGAGGACGCAGCCAATGCAAGCTCTGTCGATTTCTGAGAAACTCTTGTACGGAGACTTTGAGGTCCAGATTAGCCAGTAGTTTAAATTAAAGAGGGTAGAGGAGGATTTGCCCAGTAGTTACTCATTCATGGCACATTTGAATGGATGGATTTAAGCTTCAGGCTTACTCCTCTGAACTTCTGGGCAAACTACTTTTCTCCAGCTCTGCTAAAACGTCACTCTCCTTATTTATTTAGAGCATTTTAAAAGTTAAAATATTGTTGCTGCCAACTTATAAAACAGATAATGTTGTTCTCCCTAATGAAAGAACAACATGTCCTTGTAATAAGCTATTTCAGTTCTTTAGATTCTGTGTGCAGGTCAGGTGGAGACCTAAACTAGGTCCCCCGGTGGCTGTTCTGACCCCAGGAGCTAAATTAAAGCTGGGTGGACCAATTTCAGTCAGGTGGCAGAACAGAAACAATAGGGCTAAAATGCATGAACCTCGAAATGCTGCAGATGTTTGCTTTTGACTTCTGGTGTTTATAATTGTAAAAATTACATTTTTTAGATCTTACAAATTTTTGAATCATTTAAACCCATTATGCACTGTAAAAGCAAACATTTTTTGTAAGAAAGAAATAAATTAAAGGGATTTCAAGACACTGAAAATCATTACATTATTCTGCTTCAGTTTGTTTTCCAGCTACCACACCTTTACTGCTTTAATCGACAATTTATGATATAAAAAGTAGGAAATTTAATCTCCAATATCCTTTTTCTTAGAACTTAAAGTATATGCCTCAGAAGATAATGCAGTTTACCTCTCTACAGTATAGCACCTAATGCTTAAATAGAGCAAGTTAAGTGACAAAGCAGCTTAAACTTACTTCATAAAACTTCTCTAGCAGATGGAGACTTTTTTTTTATTGTTTGCTGGTTTTCAGAGTTGAACCATTTAAAGTTTTCTGTTTGACTCCAGGTTCCTCTGTTAATTTAAGCACCCTTCAGCATTTGCTTTATAACTACAAAGCCCCCATTTAAAATGTTTAAAAAGCTTCCTCTAAAATATGAAAATGTAGAACTTACCTTACTGACTTATGTAAGTTTTTTTTTTAACTTCAACCAGATAACCTGCCCTTCATCAGCTCTCTATAACAACCTTTGCTCAGGATTGTGTTCCTCGTCAATATGGCTTGAGGGAGAATGGCTGGATTAATTTGAGTGAATTAATCCCAGCAGTGCAGGCCTTTTTGTGCACAGTCTGACAGCTCCTTTTCTCATATGTTACAAAAGCAGCCATGTTGGGTTAATTGGTTTCTCCTAATTGACCGAAATAGTGTGTTTGGCCTGTATGGCTGTTTGCCTTCTGTGTCTTTGTGCTGACCATCTGATAGACCAATGGGTTTGTGTTTTTCTATCCACCCCCTGATGACAATTGGAACAAGTTTGAATGCCACATGCCCTGTGACATGAAAGCAGGCATGAAAAAATACGTGACTGAGATGGACACACTTTCCATTTGAAATTACTGTATAAAATTTTTACATGAGGCTTTAACAAAATAAATAACACATTGCAATAAGATGTTGTTTTTTGACAATATATTTACAGAGGTTTAAGACCTTATAAAGGACTACGTTTTAAAATTAATACAACATAAGTGACAAAAGATCTAGCTGTATGTGTTCGGTCCTTATCATAAAGGAAGATGTGCTTTTTTTCCAATCCAAATTCTTTTGCTGCTTAACAAGTTTTTTTATGTATGGTCTTATCCTCAAATCTATGGAAGCAAATCGTTACCATATTTCAAATTAAAAAGCATTCTCAGAAATGCTTTTTCATTTTAAGAATGTGGCTGCATAGTTTGACTCATAAATTAAATTAGTAATCAATAATCCTGTTTGCATTTTGATTTTCATCCTTTTCACACTGCTCATCCTTTTACTTATAAAAATGAAAAAGAGAATGACATTTGACATTTATTTTTCAAAATGTACCCCAGCAAATACATACTAAAATTCAATTTGAAATGTAAAATTTGAAAATGAAAAAGCATTTCCAGAAATGCTTTTCCATTTTAAGAATGTGGCTGCATTACTCGACTCATAAATAAAATTAGTAATCAATCATCCTATTTGCATTTGCATTTTCTTCTTTAAGACTGCACATTTTATGCCATAATCAAAGAGAAAACACAGCCGACATTGCTTTTTCGTTTTTGTGGTCTGCCTGCAAAGTACTGTCCATAACTCGAAAACGAAAAAGCATTCTGAGCGGCGGGAGCAGCAGAGTGACATCAGCAACCGCTCTTCCTCAGGTCCTTGCTTACCGGGCTACCCATCTTGTTCGGTAGGGGGCGCTGTGCACGTCTGCATTGCTGGCACGCTACATTGTAAGCGTGCCAGCAGGAAACTGGTTGAATTGCCGGGTCTGACTATTGGGACATACTGAACAACCACAATGGCCTCCTTCAGTAGCTCTGCCACTGTTTTGGTAATTTAAGTTTGGGCGTTTTATTTTTAATGTGTACATAATGCTTTTTATGATGACATGTATTCCCAAATGCTTTCTAATGAAACTTTACATACCAACACTTTGTGGTATTGAAGACACACTTTTTCATCTATTTCTGATCTCAAATTTATCTGTTTTTCCCTTAACCATGACATAAAATCTCATTAAATTAGACTGAATGTTGTGGTTGTTAAGAAAGAAAAAACAAAGAATATGGTTGTTTGTATTTTTACAAGTTTGCAAGTAACACTGGGGTCATGCAAACCTGACCCAAGTGTTAAGAAAACTTATGTAACAACAGAAACAAATTCTGATAGATAAGCCTGTTTCCACAGATAAACTTTGTTGAATAATATATGATAAAGTCTCGGTCACCGGAGATCTTGTTTGTTTGGAGAAGAAAGGCCTGAGCAGCAAAAATAAGGTTTGTTTTAAAAAATTATTTTGTTAGAGTGACACAGAAATACAGCTCACTGTAAAACCACGCACCCACACACAACCCAAGAAGTTCTCCATACTATAAATTTCATTTTCTTTTAAGTGTGGAAAACTATAAAAAAAAACAGAATCCCACAAAACCGTCTGCAAACCTGAGCTCCATACTAACCCACATCTGTTACAGCCTCTTTTAGCTTGCCAGATATCATTTAACGGCAGTAAAACTACCTCAGAGAGCATCT